GATACCGGCATCACTAGCCCTTCAGCGACTGTGTTCAAGAGGGCAGCTGAAGATTGTTCACTGATCTCCAAAGAGCTTGGGAACACAGCGTTTGCTCATGGACTTTTGCCCCGTGCACATTAGCAAGTGTATTACTCTTTGCAATAACCTCTGATCAAACTAGATTCATATTCAGACAACGTTAGTGCTGCCACTGACACCCAACGAGGGAAGCATAAAGGCTGCAGTGGGAATAGAAGACCCATTCTGTACTGTTGCTAAAAAATGTAAAAATCACCCTAAGATTTTTTTTACTGTGTCGATTTTGATCCTCAGAAAATGAGTCATACCTGTCAGTATGGAGGAAGAAGAGGAATATTTCCTCAGATGGTGTAGTGCATAAAGTCAACACCAGCATCTATTTGTTCAGGGAGGGGCAACGTTTCTCGATAGCTCCTTATTAAATAACTTCGGCTACAGAATTTTTTTTTTTTTAAAGTATTAATAGAACCTGCGAACATGACAGCAGCATATTATTCACAGATGCGACTTTGTAAACACCTGAAGGCAAAACATTTTTTTTTTAAAAAGATGGCCTCAATCTTTTTTTTCTTAGAGGAAAACTACATGTCATCCTCATCCTTTCACCGTTAACTCCTTCATCATGTCGATATCAAAGCAGCACATAGCCAACCGACTCAAGACAGATCAAGCATGCCCTCACATCTTTTCCCATCAAGGTTGTTACCTTTGATACGCTAATAAACATGGCCAGGACATCCTGAAACCCACCATGATCAATGGGAGACCGGATCATTTTAAATGAATGAGTTACACCGAGCTTGCTTTGGTGCCACTTCAGAACGATTAACTGACTGCGGGCCCTCGGGTAAAGCCCGGATCCGGCTGTTGTCTCCAACAGGTAAAGATAATCTCAGTTTGAGCCAGTTGAAATTTGATTGCCACCTGCACCACGTCAGCACGACTATGGAAAAAAACAGGATAAAAGGAGCTGCTGCCTTGATAAACTTCCTGCACTCAGTACCTGCTTTACCACTTATGTGGCTGTGGCAATCGAGGAATAATAGGCTGTTGCTTACAGCCATGTTTACTGAAGGTGATTCAAATGAGAGTTTGCAGTAGAACAAAAACAAGGACGAGCAAGTGAGGAAATCAAGAATATGTTGTGAAGTTTAATTACAGGCTACGTAACCCAAGATGGGTTTACACCTCATTGCTGTACAGTGCATAAGCAAAATATCTACATATTAGACCTTTGTTATATGGCTATTCTTGACATCTATAATATTACTGATATTGTTTTATTGCCCAGTACAAACTGGAATTCAAAAATTTGGTGGCTAAGACCAATAACAGCACAATAGGAATTTAGCGATTATTTGCATTTAAAATAATAGTTAATATTATTTGTGAGAAATATGATTATTTGATAAGAAGATTGACACTCTCTTGTCTTTACAGCAAATAAAGCCACTGCTAGCAGACAACCATCTGTAGCTTACTACAAACACAAAGGGAAACTGGGCTTTGTCTAAACATAAAAATGAAAAATCCATCAACCTGTAGGCCTAAGACACGTTGATATGTTTTCACTGAATTTCTGGCTTAAACCAAAATGTAAATACACATGCAGCTACTCCATTAATTAAATGCTGCCATTATACACGTTAAATAGTTTGGTCAGAGACACACATATTAAGCATAAAACAATGTGGCTCTTCTTGCTCATACAAAGTAATTAGTAATTATTTCACCAACGGCGATGAAATATTCAGCACATGCTCCCACCCCTCCTTCGGCATTTGTTTTTAAGCTGTGGTTGAAACTGACTTCATATTTATGTGCTGAGTGCACTACAGCGTCATGCTCTCCAGGCTCAAGAGGACTGTTACACTATTCTCCTGGTTAAGTGGCATCTGAAAATCACAAATGAAAGAATCATTCTTCTGTCATGTCTGAGAAAATGTGACACACAGCGACATGACTTTCAAGTCAAGACACTAAAGTTCTCCTAGTTTAGTATAAATCATATGTGTAACCTGCTCGATTAATGTTCTGGCAAAACTGTGATAACACCTCAATCAGGATTTGATCACAACACTTTTTCCCTGCAGATACACGGATATTAAAGTGGTGAATCATCCCATTGAATCTACAATCTGTTGAAAATGTTCCAATCAAGACGACAACATGCTGGCATCTCATAATAAATTTAAATTGGTTGTTTGACGCTTGTGTGCAGGAGCAGGTCTTTGTGTCGGAGCTACGCATGATCACCACGTTTCCAACAACCAACAAAGCCTTTGAGCCACGTGAGCACTGCACAACAAAGAAACGACCGGGAGTGTTTGCGCTCGTCTGCGTCTGACCTGAATAGACACTGACCACAGGTAAAGTGAGCTATAGGGTTACTCAAATTAGACCATCGAAACTAACTCCACTTTTACACCAATATTAGTGGGAATACGCAGGGTTTTTTTACGTATTTGACTCCTTTCCTATTGTCTTTCAGTTTTTTTGCCCGATGCGTCATGTTCGACATCACGAGTCGATCTCTCAACTCGCTGTCTTGCCAGATTAGCGCGTTCACCAAGGTGTCATGTTTCCGGAGCTGATAAAAACCTGCATCTACTGCAGAGTCATTTGACCCCGGAGTGAAAGTCGATTGTGCATTCCCATTTGCCAGGTGTTAGCACGTGTTAGTGGGTTTTGACCGGTGGACCAGGGACTTGACTTCAACTAAAACTCTGCTGGAGCATATTCTTCAAAATGTGATTGCAAAATAAATGTAGTATATTACCTGGCAGGGCATAAAAAATCAATTGCTCCTGTGTTTATTGTGATTGGGTGTGGGTTGGTCCAGATTGGCTGTCTTTTACCAACTGCTCTACCAGAATCAGCATAATGGCCGGCTGCATTCAGACATTAATACGAGAGGGTGCCGATAAACAGAAGCATTACAGTTACATTCAAAAGACACATTAGAAATGGCTCCATCTCCCGCATGCTGCTGCCTCACAGCAGTTGAGGCACCGCTCTGTTCGTGTTACTGCTGCTACATGAAAAACGCTGAGAGCCTGGCTTTCCGCAGTCGTGTCGGTTGGCACGCCTGGAAAAGCTTCTGTTTTCTGGACTTCTTTTCACTGCAGGCCATCGTAACCAGGGGCTAAATCAAACGCTGGAACGCTTCACCTGCCCTGCCTTCCTCCACACAATTTATAGCCCGGTATATACCCGCCAATCAAATCATCCTGTAAAAGAGCTCTCCTTGGTATTAAAAAAAGACACACACAACCTTAGGCTGCAGTGTTGTAACTTGCTGACCAACAATGGTTGTTTTTCACTTTGCCTTTACTAATAGGATAAATGCCTCGGGGTAATTTGTAAATTAATTCCTCAGACCAAAGCGGTTTCCCAGGCCAGCCTAAATCACATTTGATATAGAAGGATTATCCCTGATTGAGTTTGCTGTAAAGAAGCTTGTGACAAACTAGAGAAACCACAATATTTCTTCGGAGGTGTGTGCCTTGCCTGACAATGAGGCTCTGTGGCACCAACATACACTTTTGTATATCGCTGCTGCTACTGCTGCATAATCATCCACCTACTGTGACTGGTTGTTCTAAATATTCAGAGACGACTCTCCGTCACACACACGGCAGATGAGGCGAGAAGACCCCTGCTAAATGGCCCCGGCTCTAAGGCAAATGCATTGTCTTACCTCATCGAGTGCAGAGCTCCCTGGCTGTTCAGGGAGGACTAGGGACTAAAGCCCTTAATCCCTGCCTTGATTCACGATAGCCTGCTAGGTTTTAAAATGTCATCAGTGGGGAAGTGTGTCCCGCTCCTGCCCCACATGCTTGGCCCATGAATACACTAACAACCCCAGGGTACATGCATTTTGGAATCGAAACACATACAGTAGAGTGGCTGCACAGCTATTTATATATAATAATAATAATAACACATGCTCCTGCCAGGGTTCGTAAACAGGCATCAGTGCTGAGACCAGAGCGGATGTGAGAGAGTTTCTTTAAGTTGATAGTAAATCATGTTTAATACAGACTGCAGAATAAATCTGATGATAACTTCATTCTTTCATCAATAGCCTCTCATTTGGCAGGAGCGTGAAAACAGTGGTGCTCATGGATGGAGGGGCGGCTGGCAGCCTTTCGAAATAGATCATCAGTAACTTTGTGTGAGGACCGGGCAGTGTCCCTCACTCACTCCCAACCAGAGCTGCAGTTCACACACAAGGCTACAGCGAGTCACTGGAGCAAGGCATGGGACCAGTGATGAGTAATGCTTTGTTGTCTGGAGGAAGGATCTTGCAGAGTGGAGGTTACAACTTATATTCACACATCTGCAGGATACAATAATAATAGGATTTTATAAATAGACTCGTGCACGTCACAGACAGCCGAGAACTGGGACTGAAAAGGGAAATATTTCAAATTGAATTGTGCACTTACTATATTTTGGTCTAGTTTGGAAACACAAAGTGAAATTCAAAAGATGTGAGGTAACACTGGTTAAATAGTTGCTCCATTTGGCCCAATATTATACTGACAACTTTGAGAATAAATCATTTATCTTATATTTCATTCTAGTTTTGTTAAGTTAGATGAAGGGATGTTTCTCACAGCAGTCACCAGCCCTTGCTCCTAAGTTCCTGACCTGTACCTCCACCACGACCTGCCTGTATTCACCTAGTTGTTCTCTCACGATCTATGAGGCGTGAAGTTAAGTTTTTTCCTTCTTATGGGAGCGCTTGCGCACAATGTGAGCGCCGCACACACACACCACTCTGGAGGCTGTGGTCCCTGAGCTCAGGGGGTGGCAGTGAAACTGATCATCCTCCTCTCCCCCTCATTCACCCAACACTGGACAAGTGTCCGTGCGCCGTGTGAAACTCCTGCCTGACACTGAAGACACGTCAAAATGAAGCGGACACGCGGCGACATTGTCCGCGGCTACACGCTCACTGTGCGTTCACCTACCGGCCACTCGCTGCTCCGGTCCCCCGGCGTCTGTCCTTGTTTCGCTGCGACGCTGCTTCTTAAGCGTGGACACAGTCTCTATCCCGCACGGACTGTTGTTGCATCTTACAGCGGGAGGAGCGACACTGAGGAGCGGGCAGCGGCTGCGTGCTGGTCGGTCGGTAGCCTCTCTGCGCTCCGCGGCGCACGTCACCAAGTGGAGCGGTGCCGAGGACTTGGCAAAACGCGTCTTTCTGTGCTCGCTGCGCGGCGGCGGATCGGAGATGGGAGCGATTGCTTGGACGGACTGACACACCGTGTGGCCACTTTACTCCCGGTGCTGCTCCTCCCCTTTCACTCGCTAACACGCCGGCCCTGCAGCGCCGCCCACCCGCCACTGCGCGCAAGTGCATGCACCTGCAAAGTTACTCCTGCCCGGGCAACCCAGCTGTCCCCGGGGGAGGGCCCCGGGGTCACCGGGGGCCGCAGAGGGACCGATATTCATGCAGTTGAGTCGTTTTTATTCAAGTCTTTATGGGGAATCAACGGTTCTAATGAGTGTGCCGTGTCTTTACAGTAAATACAATTTCTTGACTTTAAATTCAGGCTGAAAAACATGAAAATCCTAACTAGGTTTCTCTCTCTGCCTTTAGACCCTGTTTTTACACACTACCTGGTAGTTAAGTGCTGGCAATTACATTCACTTTGCATCCTAGTTGTAAATCAGCCCTGGATTAGATGGCTCGAATGAAAATCAACAGGGCTCTCTCTGGCTGGATACAAATTGCCTAAAATCAATGTCCTTTCTGCTTTCCTAACCACTTCTGCACGAGCACATTGAGCAATGTGATGCAGTCGAGCAAAGACAGGAGGAAGGAGTTTAATGAAGTTGGGAACAAGCAACCACAGTGTTCAGAAGAAGGGCAATTTTTCGTAGAAGACATTTTGACATGTTTTAGGAGGAACTTGCAAACAATAAAATGAACGATGTCCATTCCTGCAAATGTTTCCTATTTGAACAATTCAACCTACAGCTCTTATCTTGCCTTCTTCTTAGAAAGATTACTTATGGGGGGATTAAGTCAAACAGAAACATTTGAATCTGCTGTTTTTTGACCATATAGGAGCTTCATTGGTTTACTGTTGAAATTCTCCTTTAAAGCCCCCACTGTATATATGTATCCATCCATGGCACATTCACAGAGGTGATATCTCTTACTTTGCACAATTAGTTCTCCCCTCCAAACTTTTTTGCATACAGTAGAAATACAGCATCACTTTACAGTAACCTGCTTATTAATTCATTTCAATATGTCTTTCTTACAGAAGTCATTCTGACAATAGCACAGGTTTTGTCAGAATAAGTGAGCCCGGTGTAACTCAAAGGAGATGATTAATTAATGATGGTAGAATTGAGTTTTTCTCCTTCAGTGTCAAGGTGCTGGTATTGTCCGTGTCAGCTCCTTGTCATATTTCACAGGAACACAGTGCAGAACCATTGTTAATGTGCTTTCCCTATTATGACAAGTGAAAATGTCTGCTATGAAAAAGACCGGTGTGTGTAAATGAGAAATGAGAAAACAGAATGCAAATTAGCTGCAAAGTAATGTTTATAAAATGCTAAGTTACCTTATTACGTTATGTTATGTTGTATAATGTTATACTATGTTATGTCATGCTATGTTATGTTATGCTATGTTATGTTATGCTGCATTATGTTCAATTCATTACCACTCTTTTGCAACACTGGTGGTTATCATCCTTAGCTTGGTAAAAGTATTCAGACGATATACTTGTTTGAATATGAATGAGACATCAATCTCACACATGTGCAACGTCATACAGAAAACACAGCTCTGTCAATGGCCTCACACTGTTCCACTGATCCAAAGGATGTGATAATGTGCCAAGAAACATACGTGTGTGCCAACAAATGCTGCAAAGAAAACTGCAAACTGTTAATATGGACATAAAGACTGCTGGGGCGTGGTTTTGAGGAAGAAAATTTATTCAGCATACTTGTACCAAATCAATAAAACACTGAATATAAACAGCTTCGGATTTATTGTGTTTATAGTGTTTAATTTCCCATATGTAGCATGTAGCTCAGTTTTCTATGATTTCTGTTGTATTTGTTGTTGGGCAGGACGACTTCTGTTCTTATCATTTTTTTACTCGTCCTATTGAATTTGATAACGTGAAACTATTTATTTTTTATGGTATATGAAATTGTTGATGTGAGATGTGTGAATGTCTGTTTTGTAATTAATATAAAATAGTACTTAGAAACGATTTGCTTTTAACAATAGCCGAGTATAAATATTATGTTAAACTGAATATAATTCAAATATATGCACTCTAAGAGGCCTGGGTAAAACACTTAAATGCTCTCCGTTCCTGAGACATGCAGCTTCACATCAAAATGTCACTCTTGGCAGAATAGATAGTTGGCCTTATCAGGGGTCACATTCTATTTGCAGTCATTTCAGAAGTCTTTCAGCCTTTTAGCGAGCGAGATGGCGAGCAATGGCGTGTGCTAATCAGTTGTAGAGACGAGTGAGCCTAATCTGAGCCAGCAGGTACTAGTTTGAATTTTAAAAGAAAAGGACTTTAAGGTCGGACGGACGAGGCTCCCTATATCTGGGATAATTTATGGAATCATTCTCCCAAAGGAAAATGAGTATCATGTTCAATGATGGAGCAAAACTCTGTGGGCCTATTAGATGATGATACGTTTAATAGCATGACTCACAAATCACAGGGAGATGATGGAGGGTGAGCTGGGAGTGCAGTGTAACTCCACAGTTAAAGGCAGCCATGATGAAGTGAAGTACGGAGAGAACAGGGAACGACAATGGGCCTTTGTTGTGTGACATTTAACAAAATTGTCGTGTATCTGCATCTACACTGATGGTAAAATGATAAATGGGACCGTAGAGTATATGACTGGGGCATGGTGGGATTTATAAAAACCTGTAAAAGTAAAGGTTTGCATAAAGGTCATATTATTAATGTGTGGCAGGAATTTTGAATTTAGTAGGAGAAAATGAAAATACACACAATTACAAGAACCGTTTACAAGCTTCCCAGCATAAAAGTTAATTTAAAACTAAATTGGAAAAGAAATGCCTAACATTTATCTAAATGTTTTTGTTTTTCCCCTGTAATCCTCTGTGCATGTTTTGTTATCTGTCACTGTTTATTTTGCAGTCATTTACCTTTAGTGCCAATGGTTCTGCAGTGGTACTGTTACTCGTGCCCTCTATACTGTACCCTGTATGTGACAAAATCTGGAGTGTGTAAACAACAGTAATTGGGCTCATGGGGGGCAGAGGGAAAAACAAACCGCCTCCATGAGCCGGACTATCATTTGATCTTCCAGTCGGTGGTTTGTTTTCTGTATAATCCAGAATGGAATACAAAAAAGACCACAGGTTGTAAATAAAGGAGATAGCCTCATGCCTTCCCTGTAGGAGTTTTTGTGTCCAGCGCAATAGAGTTTTTTTTAAGTTGCATAGGAGTCAAAGAACTGAGATCTTGCAACCTTTTCTTTTCTTGGTAGAAGCTTTTATTCTTTCCCTCAGACTATCGATCAACTTCTTTCTATCAAATATTTACTTCGAGCTATAGATCAACCAAGTCGTACTTTGCAATTCACAGACCAGCTGTGCAAGTGCTGTTCTTTCATGGTCAGTGTCCAACAGTGGGCAACACCTCCAAGATCCCAGTAATTTGTTCTTTAACCGCCTCGAACTTCAAGTTTCTCTGCAACCTTTGCATTTTGCAAATGGATCAACTAAACAATTGTTCTGAATAAATGGCTGACAGGGTGTGAAGTGAAACAAAATCGATGGTGGTAGAGTTCGATGAATGAACCTGAAGTCAGACTCTAGAAATGTTTTAAAATTGAATTAGTTGGAGCATCTCTGTGTGCAGTATTTACATATAGTTTTCACTATTTAAATATGGGTGATAGTGTAACTTCAGTTACAGCGCTGCAGTTGTCGCCTGAACTTACTTTTATCTTTTAAACAACTTCATTACAACAATGTTTATACAATGGCATTTGTAACCCCCATTTCATGTGATTATTTTAAATATTTCTTTCTTTCTTTTTTCTGGCTTCTCATGATTAATGGTTACTTGATTTTTAAACAGTTTTTCTTTTATCACTTTTATCTTGTAAAGCGTGTTGTAACCTGTTTTGAAAAGTGGAATATAAAT